ATAAAAAAAGAAAGTAATATTTTTATTCAGCAAGGACACATTGAATGTGTTTAAAAGTTAGAGTAAATGCATTTATAATGTTACAAAAGATTATAAGATTTCTATATCTGTTTGAATTAAATTTTTATTCATTAAAGAATCCTGAAAATACTATATCACGGTTTCCACGAAAATATGAAGCAGAAGCACACCTGTTTTCAACACTGATAATACTCAAAGATGTTTCTTGAGCATCAGATCCTCATATTAGAGTGATTTCTGAAGGATCATGTGACACTGAAGACTGGAGTAATGATGCTGAAATTCAGCTTTGATCACAGGAATAAATTACACTTTACTATATATTCACATAGAAAACATTTTCAGTGAAATTCCGTTTCTTGCTTGCTTTAGCCATGTTCTTGCAGGTTTCTTTTGCCAAATTGGACTAATTACCATATTTAAATTAATTTAATAGGGGGAGGAGACTGGGTGGGGCGTTGTGCTCGTGCATGTGCGCTCAATTTTACGTTAATTGGGATGTACAAAGAGAATATGCGTGGGATCCTTCGTACGCAGAGATTCATACATCTGCTTTTTTTTGTGCGTACGCACATTTACAGCTTTGTCCGTACGCAATGTTTTAGTATGAATTCAACGCAAGTCTTTGTACATGAGGCCCCTGATAACTTAGAAGGAACGTTCTATTAACGATACTGGAAGAACGTTTGTTCATAACTTTGAGAGAACGTTCCCTGTCCGCTGTGAAACATGCATTAATGACACACGTGCAGTGGTGTGTGTGTAGTGTAGTTTGCTTTCACATGGTGAAGCTTTCACACTTCAGTGGCTTCTCGGTTCCTCCCGCACACCAAACGCTCCGTAGCATCCGACTTTTCAAAGGGCGTGTGTGGGGTGTTGTTGCCGTAGTAACCAGCATCATCCCAGAGGGCTCACCTGTGGGCCTCATGCGTGCGTGTGTGTGTTCCCACATGACCTGCACGAGGTAGAGACCGCGAAACACAGACACACACACACACTCGACATGGAGACGGTGAAGAGCTCTTCTCAGCCCGCTTACAGCCGCTGGTCGTACAGGTACACACACACACACACACACACACACACACACAAACATACACATAAGACGGAACGGAGGTTTACTGTTTAAAGGACAAAGTTGAGTTTCTCAGTTTGTGTGTGTGTGTGTGTTTAATTGAGGTGTGTGTGTGCTCTGGATTCACATGAGGACAGTCGCTCTGTTGTGTGTTTGTGAGGTGTGTTTGGAGTCATTAAGATGTGTTTCGTTTCCTGAATGACGCAAAATATTGACATTTACTGTACAGTGAAGAATAGAGTAACAGTCGATGGATGGATGAGCAGATGCGGGGTCGATTAGCCACCATAAACACTGAGGGGAACGTTTGCAGTGATTGATTCATAAAATATAATATTTGGTCCAGATAGATGGACAAACAGAGTGATGGAGGATGGATGGATGGATGATGGAGGATGGATGGATGGATGGAGGATGGATGGATGGATGGATGGATGGATGGATGATGGATGGATGGATGATGGATGATGGATGGATGGATGGATGGATGATGGATGGATGGATGATGGATGGATGGAGGATGGATGATGGATGGAGGATGGATGGATGGATGGATGAATAGATGATGGATGGATGGATAGATGATGGATGGATGATGGAGGATGGATAGATGATGGATGGATGATGGATGGAGGATGGATGGATGATGGATGGATGGATAGATGGATGGATGATGGATGGATGGAGGATGGATGGATGGATAGATGATGGATGATGGATGGAGGATGGATAGATGATGGATGGATGGGTGGATGATGGATGGATGGATGGAGGATGGATGGATGGATGGATGATGGGTGGATGGATGATGGAGGATGGAGGATGGATGGATGGATGGATGGATAGATGATGGATGGATGGATAGATGATGGATGGAGGATGGATGGATGATGGAGGATGGATAGATGATGGATGGATGGAGGATGGATGGAGGATGGATGGATGATGGATGGATGGATGCATGATGGATGGATGGATAGATGATGGATGGAGGATGGATGATGGATGGATGGATAGTAGGGGTGGGAGAAAAAATCGATCCATCGATGCATCGCGATTCTCTCTCCAACGATTCTGGATCGATTCTGAGAATTCCAGAATCGATTCTGAGCTTAGTTTTTAACCAGATGTGCGATGACGAGTTTGCTTTAGAAACACCCGTATTCTGCTTGCTTCCTATTCCTCACACACATACACCACTCGAACCTTCGGTAAAATAATCTTTCATAAAGTTCGGAAAGGTTGAAGCGAATTGCAAGGACATTCACAGGCTTCATTGCACAGGATACGCTGTGAGAGACGCGCGCTTTCTTTGATGTTACACTTGAAGTGTGTGTGCTGTCTCGCCCGTCGGTATTTTCCTTACAAATGCTCTACGAAGTCATCATGTATGTGGTTTGGAATGCAGTGGACTCTATATTTAAAATATGAACCTCACTAACAGAAGGCGGCTTTCAATTTCAAACGCTGACGCGCGCTTTGCTTGTGAGACTGCTCGCGCATGCGGCTGTGCGACTCCGTGTAGTGGTTTAATGTAGCCTACTTGTGCAAAAATAACGTAAACACAGCCAGTTAACAACAGTAAAGATGAAGAAAAATCACTCAGTTCTTGAATGGAAAACGTTCAGATAATCTATAGGCTACTGAAAGCACTTTTTGTTTGTTATATTTTTCTATGCTCCTCTTTATTATTTGTTATATTAGTTTAAAATTCTTAACATACAACTGTTTTAATAAAAAAAGTATTTTTTAAAAAGTAGGCTACTTAATTACTTAAATGTAAACTAATTAATTAATAAGGGGGGGAAAGGTAGATAAAGAATCGTTCTGGAATCGGATCGTGACTCCCAGAATCGGAATCGGATCGGATCGTGAGGTGACCAAAGATTCCCACCCCTAATGGATAGATGGATGGATGGATAGATGATGGATGGAGGATGGATGATGGATGGATGGATAGATGGATGGAGGATGGATGGATGGAGGATGGATGGATGGATAGATGATGGATGGATGATGGATGGAGGATGGATAGATGATGGATGATGGATGGATGGATGGATGGATGATGGATGGATGGATGGATGGATGGATGGATGGATGGATGGATGGATGATGGATGGATGGATGGATGAATGATGGATGGATGATGGATGGATGGATGATGGATGGATGGAGGATGGATGATGGATGGAGGATGGATGGATGGATGGATAGATGATGGATGGAGGATGGATGGATGGATGGATGATGGAGGATGGATAGATAATGGATGGAGGATGGATGGATGATGGATGGATGGAGGATGGATGGATGGATGGATGGATAGATGATGGAGGATGGAGGATGGATGGATGGATGGATGGATAGATGATGGATGGATGGATGGGTGGATGATGGATGGATGGATGGAGGATGGATGGATGGATGGATGGATGGATGATGGATGGATGGATGGATGATGGATAATGGATGATGGATGGATGGATGGATGATGGATGGATGGAGGATGGAGGATGGATGATGGATGGAGGATGGATGGATGGATGATGGATGGATGATGGATGGATGGATGGATAATGGATGGATGGAGAATGGATGATGGATGGATGGATAGATAGATGGATGGAGGATGGATGGATGATGGATGGATGGAGGATGGATGGATGGATGGATGGATGGATAGATGATGGATGGATGGATGGATGGATGGATGATGGATGGATGGAGGATGGATGGATGGATGGGTGGATGATGGAAGGATGGATGGATGGATGATGGATGGATGGATGGATGATGGATGGATGGATGATGGATAATGGATGATGGATGGATGATGGATGGATGGAGGATGGATGGAGGATGGATGGATGGATGATGGATGATGGATGATGGATGGATGGATAATGGATGGATGGATAATGGATGATGGATGGATGGAGGATGGATGGATGGATGGATGGAGGATGGATGGATGGATGGATGGATGATGGATGGATGGATGGATGGATGATGGATGGATGGATGGATGGATGGATGATGGATGGATGGAGGATGGATGGATGGATGGATGGATGGATGATGGATGGATGGATGGAGGATGGGTGGATGGATGGATGATGGATGGATGGATAGATGATGGATGGAGGATGGATGGATGGATGGATGGATGATGGAGGATGGATGGATGGATGGAGGATGGATGATGGATGGATGGATAGATGATGGATGGAGGATGGATGGATGGATGGATGGATAGATGATGGATGGATGGATGGGTGGATGATGGATGGATGGAGGATGGATGGATGATAGATAAATGAATGGATAGATAAATGGATGGATGAGATAGATAGATGATATGGATGGATGGATGGAGATCATGGTCTGGGTTTTGTTGATGTGTTTCTGCTCCTCTGAGATCTTCAGATCCACTGAGAGCTGAAGTTTCCACTCATCACTCACACACAACACTTCAGCTGACCTTTCTTTCTTTCTTTCTTTCTTTCTTTCTTTCTTTCTTTCTTTCTTTCTTTCTTTCTTTCTTTCTTTCTTTCTTTCTTTCTTTCTCCTGTTCTAGAGAGCATATTTTCTTTCTTTCTCCTGTTCTAGAGAGCATATTTTCTTTCTTTCCTTTTTTCTTTCTCCTGTTCTAGCGAGCATCTGTTAGAATGTGTGTGTGTGTGTCACCACAAGTTGTCATGTTGATGGTGGTAACCATGGTTACACAGGTGTCTCATCAGAACGCTTGTGTGTCGTCTTACCTCGGCCACACCGTGAGCATGAAACATTCATTCAGGTGTGTGTTCAGACTGCTCATCTTCATCACTGATGCTCACGGACTCTTTCTCCTTTCTCTTGTGTTTCTCTCCTCTGTACGTCTGTGATCGTCATGGATACAAAGACCCTCCAGTTCCTCCAGCTTTGCGTCCACCGCCACGACCAGGTACAACACACACACTATAATCACACACTACTTTTTACTAATGGTCCTGGTAGTGTGTTGTAGGAAGTCGGCAGTGCATTTTTCAGTGCAGTTTCTACAGTGTTCTGATTGGTTTAAGCATGTTGCTATGCGGTTGCTAAGGTGTTGTGGGTGGTCGCTAAGTCGTTGCTATGTGGCTGCTTTCCTGCCTCAAGTTAACCCTTAAATTCATGAATATTTTGCCAAACATTATTACATATTCGGGTCTTTAGTGACCGGATCTATATCTAATGCGGATGGATCTCTAACTGCTGCAATAACAATTTCTAAAGAATAAATAAATTAAGCATATTTTGTTAATTTCACAATTAATTCCACCACAAATAAATTATTTTACACAAAATTATAACTGAAATGGATTTTTTAAATTATATATATATATATATATATATATATATATATATAAACAAAAATACTAGTTTCATATTTCTTTTTAACAGGTTTGAAATGTTTCTCTACTCTCTGCGTGTGTGTGTGGGTGTGTGTGTATTTTTAGATGTATAGATGTGAGGATGTTTGTGAGAAATTGATTTTCTTTCGTTTGGGTGTCTCTCGGTTGCCTAGCAACACAATGACTGATACACGAATGATGCCAACACTCACACTCAAGTTCTAGTCTGGACGCTCATAGCCATCTTTCAACATGTCAAATTGTGTATTTTAGCTTTAGATTCAGCCTTTGGTGATTATAATGAGCTTATCTACTGAATGATAGGATATAAGTGTGTATATGAAATTATATAGGTGTGCTTTAAATGGGTTTGCAATGTTGTTTTATTGTGTTTCAGTACGCTGGAGGATGATAGTCTGAACCTCAGACAGCAGAAACTGGAGAAACAGGTGAGGCACATTTACACACAATTAAAACAACAATACACACTTCAAAACACAAATACACACTTCAAAACAGAAATGCTGTGCATTATAAAAACACAATAAAACACATCAAAACACAATAATACACAATTACGCATGCCAGAACACAATAATACACAATAACATGCGTCAAAACACAATAAAACATAAAAACACAAAAAAACATAAACAATAAAACAAAATAATATGCAGTAACACACAAAAACACATGCCACAATACACAATAGCATGCGTCAAAACACAATATAGCACAATAATACATAATAATGTGTGAAAACAGATTAAATAGGGTACTATGAAATCTGTATAATTTTTTCCTAAATTCCGGTTGATTTTTTTCCAAATTCCGTTTTTTCCATTTTAATGGTTTAATTGAATTTGAATGATCAAAAGCATGTCTAATTAATTAAATGAATAAAAACAACAAAATTAATTACGTTTTGTGTATCATTTTTCTGGTAATCACAAGAATGCATAAAACATTAATTGAATTTATCTTTTAATCATACGACATTTTAACAAACTTGTTTAGTCAATCAAAGTGCTGCACAACAAAATTAAAACATTGAAGAAAAATTTATTATTCCTTAAAAATGTAAGTTTTAATAGTAATTTATATTATTATTATTATTATTGAAACGGTAGCTAGATTCTATTGTACAACAGTAATATATTTCTGTCACAATTTCTTCAAGTTAAACCAAACTTTTATTTTGACGGGTTGCCGTGAAGACCTTGGAGTTTCTGTGTGTGCGATACGACGATAGATTTTCTCAAATGAAATGGTGAAATGCTCATGAAGTGACTCTGGAGATGAAGTTCATGCATTCATGTCCTCATATAATGAGACGGCAGAGGCTAAAATCACTGCGAGTTCCACTCATGCTTCAGTGTGTGTGTGTGTGTGTGCCATTCATTCACACAGAGACATGCAGAACATGCAGGATTTGTATTTAAACAGTCTTTTTTGCCGTTTAATATTCACAGACCTGAGTCGCGATCTGATTTAAGTTTACTGACCTGCTTTTTATTTATTCATCAAGAATTTGACAAATTCCACGTTATACAGTAAATTCCGTTTTTATGACTGAATTCCGCCGCGTTATATGAAACAACATAATACACAAAACACACGCCAAAACAAAATAATACACATTTACATTAGGGATGTGACGGTGAGGATATTTTCCCACCGGTTAATCGACGTGTGACAACACCGGTAATACCGGTATCACCGGCAGGGACATTTAAATAGCTAATTTAAAGGCAAACGTAAAATGCGCTCGTTTGCACGGGCAGAACAGCACCAGTCACGTAACTGAAAAATTCACTGCGCTTCATGAAGAGTTTTTCTTTTGCGTGAAGAAGCCGTTCGCCGGAGATGTGTTAAAGATAGCGGAGTGCATTCATGATTATTAGGCTACCGGTATGGAGACCCAAAACGGAGAAGTTTAGAAACGCTGCCGATCCGTTTTTCGTTTTGAATCTCCGGAGGGCGTTTTAGTGTAGACGGGTCAAGACGGAGGACTTTAGAAACGATGACGTAGTAGAGGCTCACGCTCGGCTCTATGATTGGGTGTCATCAGTCATGGCGTATATCTTTGCTAGCAGCTGTTGTTGTACAAGTAAATCTGTATTTTACAACGCTATAACTGCCTACATGCGCCGGAGTCAAGCTATTATTCCAGTGATCTGTGACAATTCCCGTGAGCAGCGGCGGCGTTGGCCGTACACGGAGCGTCGGTTTGGGGTTAACCCAGAGCATGGTGGGATCATTTTATCAATGAAGTTGTGTTTACACCGGGTGATCCGCGTTTTCAGTCGTTTTAATGTGGACGGAGATCAATTCTAATACGCAGCTAAAACGCTGGTGTGGACGAAGATCGTATTCGTTTTAATTATCCGTTTCTAAACTAAAACGCAGTAGTGTGGATGGGGCCTGAGTGAGTCATTTACTCTCTCATCGTTCTTTGATTAACATAATGACCAGCCGCTGCTGACAGAGACGCGATCTGACACCCGTCCCATTTTCTCACAAATCTCCAGAGGTGGGTAGAGTATCCAAAAACTGTACTCAAGTAAAAGTACAAGTACTTATAGAAATATTTACTCAAAGTAAAAGTAAAAGTAATAATCTTAAAAGTTACTTGAGTAAGAGTAAAAAAGTATCCAATGAAAAAACTACTCAAGTAGTTAGTTACTAGTTACTTTGGATCACATAGGCCTATATATATATATATATATATATATATATATATATATATATATATATATATATATATATACTACAGGGCTGTTGAATGCTTGATTCTGATTGGTTGAGAACGTTCTAAGGTGTGCAATTATTTTCAGGGAAACGCACGGCTAAAGTAGTTCCAGGCAGGTTTGACCGCATTACAGTTCCATATCACTGCGCGTAGTTAACTGTAATAACGGAATATAGGATACAATTCATAACAAGAAAAAAAAAACATGCAGCCCCATGCACTTGATCTGCAATTTTCGATGTCTAACTTCACAATCAATGGACACATACAGTTTAATTTTAACAAATAAAGTATGTAGTCCTATCTATAGGCTAAATAGAAAATTAAATAGGCTATATAAATAAATTGATAGTCGATCTTGCTAGGTTTTCGTAATTCCAGATAATATAACAAATAAATAATTATTGATAGGCCTACTTGTTAAAAGGGCTTTGTGTGTTTCATTTATTGGGTTATCTACTGGCAATTATAGAAAACAAGAATGAACGAATTAATTAAAACAAATTTAATTAATAAATAAATAATAATATTGACTCGCATGCTTTTCTGTCTCATTATTGCAACATCTCTCTCTCTCTCTCTCTCTCTCTCTCTCTCTCTCTCTCTCTCTCTCTCTCTCTCTCTCTCTCTCTCTCTCTCTCTCTCTCTCTCTCTCTCTCTCTCTCTCTGTCTCTCTCTCTCTAATAACGGCATTAATAACTGCATAAAGCCGGGACACACTGACTAAGGCCAGTTATGAATGTAATTTGATACTTATTACTGATCATGCCCAAACGCGTGTTCAGCGCGTTCAGTCTATTCACAGTCTGTGTTTAAGACCTGCTACAGTCGATGGAAACAGTCAGTCTTCGAATGTTTCAGCAAGTCGTAAGTGTGTCCCCATCATTAGTCTGCTATCAGTGGCTCAAACCTCCGTTACTAACTCTAAAATGACGTTTTGGAATTAGCAACGGAGGCATGGGATTAGATGCGTAAGAAATTAGTCCTACATACAAGAGCGTTTTAATGACAAAAACTTGACAAACGTCTTGAAATGCATCATCTGAACAATGTTTTGAGGTGTGATAACTGTAGTATAAGCGGAATAATTGACTTCAGGCCGTTGAATTATTAGAAAAATAATGCACACCGAGGTGTAACGGCCACTCCGCTTCGCGTCGTGACCGCATTACCACCTCGGGTGTGCATTATTTTTCTAATAATTCAATGGCCTGTCGTCAATTATTCCTTACATATATATAACATTATATTATTTAGATGTTTTTTCATTTAAATTACTATTATCATCATAATTAGATAAGCTGTCTTTGCAACAAAAACAGAAGAGACAAACATTATTTCTGTAGCCCGAAAACCATTGCCTGTCCTTTGGTTTGTATAATAGTATAGTAACTTATACAACTACATTTGGATTATTAGACAATGTCGGAATAAAGTGACTCTATGGAGTTTTGCATTTATATGTAAAGGGATTGGGAACCATTGACACAGATTAGAAAAAAACTCTGCACATGTGCTCACAGTCATGTCATGCCCAACACAAACAACGATCAAATGCACGGATCTTCTTCTGTCTGTTCTCAAAAAATGTATTTAAATGTAGGCTATATTTATGAAAGCATCTTTTAACAGTCTAATAAGGCAGGCAAAGGCATTCGTTTTCAAGTCGAGTTCGCACGCCTCTGCGCAATACAGACACATTGTGTGTGTACACACATTCATAAACTGAACGATGATAGCTTATTTAATGTATAAAGTAATGTATATGTCCAAAAAAAGGGTAATGTCATACTTTGTAGTGCTATATAGCGTAATAATCTGTTTGGTTGTAAAATGTATTACCTGAATGAAATGAAATCGAATGTATCGTCGTGTGAATTCATTCACAGACAGCTTACGAAGTAACATACGAAGATGTTCAACTAATAAAGATCTTCATCGCTGGCAAAAAAATATGATGCATTTGCAGATTTACATTCTAGACTGTAGGCCCTACTGACTGTGCATGGACCGCCACTTCATAAACGCTCTTGATGTTCTTAAATCTTCCTGTTACGACTCCGAGACGATTCAGTGCGTGAGGAAACTGAACAGATCATTCAAACTGATTCGCGAACCGATTTAGACAGATCTGCCCAACTTGTTTGATGAAGTCTTTGAACAGAATCGTCTCAAAAGAGTGATTAATTTGTGAATTGAGCATCGCTCATGCCCAGAAAAAAAGAGAGAGCGCGCGCTTAGAATAAACTACGCTTTTAACAACATATTGCATTAAAATAAAGTAACGAGAGGAACGTCGCCCAACGTAACGAAGTAAAAGTACAGTTATTTCATTAGAAATGTACTCGAGTTAAAGTAAAAGTACCCACAATTAAATCTACTCTTAAAAGTAAACATTTTCCAAAAAAATACTCAAGTAAATGTAACGAAGTAAATGTACTTCGTTACTACCCACCTCTGCAAATCTCTACGTTCATTTAAGACTTTATTTAAATCATTTAAGACTGCTCTTATGAGGACACTCGACAAATCCGACATTTTGCCATAATTTGTGTGTGTTACGGTTTGTTCAAGCCCAAAAGAGAACTCGATACTGACGCGCGTTTTTTCTATTTGTGTGTGTGTGCAGGACTTACAGCGTGGTCTTAAAAGCATTCACATTAATACGAGCGTGATCATACAACGCTAGTCAACGGGTAACAGAAAAAAACGGATACTGCGTAATTGCGTTAAATATTTTATATATTTTTTTTTTGGTGTAACCGGTGTTGCGACTGAACACCGTGTAACACCGGTAACACCGACTACCGTAGCAAGCCTAATTTACATACACTACCGTTCAAAAGTTTGGGGTCGGTATGATTTTAAATACTTTTAAAAGAATTCTCTTCTGCTAACCATGGCTGCGCTTATTTGATTAAAAATACAACAAAAATCAGTTATTGTATTAAATATTATTCCAGTGTAAATCAGCTGTTTTCTGTGTGAATATATAGTAAAGTGTAATTTATTCCTGTGATCAAAGCTGAATTTTCAAGCACATAAACACTCACTCCAGTGTCGGCGCCGTTGCGCTTCAGGCGACCCGAGTTCGAGTCCCAGCTCGCGGACCTTTCCCGATCCCGTCCCCTTCTCTCTCTCCCGCCTCACTTCCTGTCCATCTATACTGTCCTATCATGATGAAGGCACAAATAAATCTTAAAAAAATAAAAGCTTCAGTGGTTCTTGAGTACTCGGTGAGAGACGCTACAGTATTATTGTGTATATTTGAGAGCTTTCCTGCTGTAAAACAGTTTCTGTGGTTTCCTGTGCCGCCCTCGACGCGAGCTCGATAAACCTAGACTCTTCTTCTCTCAAACTCTCGTTTCTGTCTAAGCCCACATTTCTCTTCCTGTCGGCATCGGCTCTCATCTCATCCCAATTCTCTTTCACACACTCTTCGCTTCTGCTGTCGTAAGGATGATTCTAGCGAGCGTTCGTCAACTTCTTCATCTTCCTGTGAGTGTTTTGTTTTAGGAGAAAGATTGTGTGTGTGTGTGTTTACTGTGAACATCATTCAGATCCTTTTCTGTGTTTTACTTCCTGTGCTCTCAATGTTTTTATCTCAGATTATCTTTGGATTAAACTCTGTCAAACATTTGAACACTCAAACTTCTTACGGTACTCGTCCTTATGACCGTTTTATCATATTAAACCATCAAAAATATTGTAGCTTAAAATGCTCATATATTCAAAATGAACAGTATTATTTATATGCTACTATAGTATTTATTCATATTTTGAATTAGCTTTTATTTTTTACATCGTCAGTTTTCATTTTAGTTTAAGTTTTATTAGATGGAATTGTGTAAATGTTGGTAACTTAAGCTTTTATTTGTTAACTTTAGTTAATGCATTAACTTACATGAATTAAATTTCTTTTACAGCATTTATTAATCTTTGTTAATGTTAATCAAAGATACAGTGTTCATTGTTTGTTCATGTTAGTTCATTTACTAATGTTAAAAGATCAATTAAATGTTGAAATTAACACATATTCGAAATAAATACTGTAGAAGTATTGTTCATTGTTAGTTCGTGTCAAAGGGTTTAATCACTCGTTCCAAACCTGTACGACTTTCGTTCATCTTTGAAACACAAATTAAGATATTTTATTAAAATCTGATCCCTCCATTGACAGGTTACGCAACTACCACTTCAAAAAGTTCATAAAGAGATCGTAGAATTAATTGAGTGGTTTAGTCCAAATTTCCTGAAGAGACACGATCACTTTATATGAGGAACAGAGTGAATGAGGTGTTTTATGTGTGTGTGTGTGTGTCCACAGAGGGCGCTGTTGGAGCAGAAGCAGCGACGGAAGCGCCAGGAGCCGCTGATGGTCCAGCCGAACCCTGAGGGCCGTCCTCGGCGCTCACGACCCCGTCGCAGTGAAGAACAAGCGCTTCTCGTCGAGCCACACGTCAGCACGGGCAGTGACATCATCCTAGACGGTGAGGTCATCACACGCGACCTTTGAGAGCTCAAGCACGACACTCCTCACTGTGCTGTTTATGAGGCTACAGCGTTTTCAATCTCGTGCACACTGACACATCGTATATACAGTCAAACCAAAATGTATTCAGACTCCTTCAACATTTCTCACATTATCACAGTTTATTCACTATAGTTTAGAAAAAGGTAATAAAATATGACAAGAACTCAGTTGATATTTCACTGGTTTTGTCCGTCCTTCTGTTAGACTCTGAGTTATGTTGAATATCTGTCAGCTGTTAAATTTAACTACACAATTAGATAAAACCAGTTTAGTCGTTTGTGACGTCAGAAACACCAGCGATTTCAAACCGTGTTTTTGAGACTGTCTTTGGTTCACTGCAGTTTTAAGCAGAAAATACTCAGCAATGCTGTCGACTTATGAACTTACACATGGTTTGTATATTAAAAAACCCCACATAGACACATAAACAACATTAAAAACAGGATTTTTACCACAGGGGGACTTTAAAGTTTAGCTACTTGTCTTCAGTGAACAATCAGTCCTTCCAGAAAAACGCGCCGTTTTTTTTTGTGATTGTTGCGGGCAAAAATCCTTGATTACGCGGCCCATTTTCTTTAAAAATGCGATGGAATATGCGAAATATTTATGCAATTTTTTGCAATGAAATTGCGGGAACTTGCAAAAATTGCGGGAACTTGGAAAAACTGAGGTTTGATGAAAAAGAGAAAAAAAAGTGATTCCCCAGCGCCCTGTTCTCACTAGGCTCCTACCTTAATGAAAAGAGTCATTTCTTATTACTTCCTATGATAAGCAAGCATACTACATCACAGAAAGTGCTGGAAATATTTAAGTTCTCATCTTGTTTTATTTCAGACTGTAACGAGTGGAAATAAGGTGTGGCCCCTTTAAGAGCTGCGCGCTCCCTGTTGAACTGTCTGCAGTAACGTTATTATATTGTGCCATGCGCCTCGAACACCCCATGTGTGCGGGTAATTTCTGTTTGATGCTACTTATTTTATCTTATTTTGTTTATTAAGTAACGATGTGGACGGTAGAACGTGTGACAGACAGTTACGAGTTCAATTTGGGAATAAAGTGCGAGTTGTGAGATGCCAATCGCCTCCGTGAGTCTGTCTGGCCTCTGCTATAACTCCAGCTGTGAGCTATCCCTATTTTTCTTCCCGACACAACGCGTTACAAGACCTTAACAAGTCAAACAAGTTCTGTAGCTTTACTAGAGGAATATGCTACAACATCAGTAAAAATTAATAAATTAAATATTTAAAAATAAAGTGTGCTCCTGTTTTACAGCTTTTCGATGATGTTCACGTCGCGTAATTACATCACTTCATAACGTTCCCATGGCAACAGGGGGAAACGGCTGCTCTTGTGTGAAGCAAACGCAACATTTTCCAACTTTCTGCTAAGATATACGTGACTTTTTTTGCGACAAAAATGCGGGGATTATGAAATCATGCAAGCCCCGCATATTTTGCGCGGAAATCAGCAATTTATGCGGCGAAATTGGCGGAGTATTTGAAAAAATGTGACCCCCACATAAATATGCGGACTTTGGCTGATTATGCATTGAATTCAGCGATCGCATAATCGCGTTTTTCTGGAGGGACTGAACAATAAGCCCCGCCTTCTTTGATTTGATTCATCTCAATGACTCAGACATTAACGAGCACTGTTAGACCGGTGAGTCAAGAATATTAAATATTTTTTTTATTAACAATTTGGACATTTCTAATTATTAGGGGGGACTTGTGTCTCAGCCACGACACGAAAGCAACATTTTTAAATGTATCCACTCGTCAGGGTATCTTCAATAAGCTCTGCTTTCCCAGGACGAATTTTCAGAAAGCCAAAACGAACATAACTTAATCTGGATTAATGTAGACGCAGCCTTATTCACTCCTGTCTTCCCCTCCTCTGTTTTGCTTCAATGTCATTTGTTTAATAGTTTCTGCTTCTCTTATCTGTTTCTCAGGACTCGTATCTGTTGTTTGTCCTTCGCTCTCTCTGGGAAGGTTTTTTTGGAGTCAGAAAATTAAATGACAGGCTTTTCTTTCTGCACCTGCCAAATAGATCTGAAAAAATCTCTGAAAATTTGCATTTAGTATCTGGGCCTGCAGTCGTGTGTGTGTGAGTGATTTCATGTGTGTGTGTGTCCGTCAGGCATCGACGGGCCGGCGGCGCTGCTGGGATCCGAGGCTCCGGATCTGGGAAGTAAGATCCAGGTTCTGTCCGTCAGTCAGACACAACAGTCCTCGCCGCCCACCGCAGAAGAGCCGGAGACCGACGCCGACACCGACACACTGCTGGAACCCAAGACGGACATACACACACTGCTGCAGAGACGTGGTAAGACCAAAAGTGAAGCCGAAGCGTCTCGATCGATGGCTGGTCCCAGTATAGCTCATAAACACCGCCTCCCCATGAAGTCTAATGAACTAAACAATCAAATTACACTTCAAATTAATTTTTTACAAAGATGTTTTCTGTTATTTTAGGTCGTTTTTGTCATTCTGGTGTAAATTTAAGTGTTCGTTTTTTTAAATAAGTTTGTTCTTAGTTCGTTATTTGATGCTATAGACCTTATGCGCCAGAGAAACAGGGCGGTCGCTCTGTATATCTCTATGGCATCGCTGTCCAGGAGTAATTCGCTTTTGAAGTAGATTTACTAAATGTAAAGTTAACGAAATGACACTGTGCATTACTGTGATATACACTGAACACTGGCATGTTTCTACTGGGGACATTTTTAAACATGTCAAGAATAGCACACACACTCACACTCACAGTGCAGGATGATGAAGTGTGTGTGTGTGTGTGTCTCAGGAGATTGTGTGTAAATGGCAGATCTTCGGCTGTTGTTTCTCATCTCGAGCTCTTTAAACTCTGTTCCTCTCAGGACTCTCTGGCAGTATGAACTACGATGAGGCCAGCGAGGATGATGAGGATGAAGCCGAAGAGCGAAGCCGATCGCTTTCCCCGAACACAGAGAACACGCGACCTGCGTCGGCCTCCAGCACTAAATCCACCACGGTGAGAGCCAGACACACACACACACACACACCATTAGTTGAGCACTTTTTTCAAAGCTAAAGTCTCATTTGTTACAGTATTCTTCCATAACAAACTGTGTTAGTAGCAAACTTTTTCTGTTATATTTCTTATAACTTGTTCATTTACAAATAATAAGTTATATTACAATATAAGATTTGATTAAAATAAACACATAATAAAACTTTTATTTAAAATAATTTGATTAAAATAAATACAATTTTAAATGTGATTTAAATAAGTAATAAAAATAGAATAAATTAAACAAATACTGAAATTAGATTAAAATATATAAATACCAATAGTTAGATTACAATAAATAAATCATTTAGATTAAAATAAATAAAAAATGAAATCAAATAAATAAATGAAATCAAATAAATAAATAATAAAACAGTAGGTTAAAAACCGTGAGAACATTTGATTAAAATAAGTACATAGTATAACCTTTCTTAAATAAATATTTAATTATAAAATTTGGTTAAAATAAATAAAATGTTATATAAACAAGTAATACAAATTGAATAAAATAAACAAACTGATATTAGATTAAAATATATAAATACTAATAATTAGATTAAGATAAATAAATAATTTGGATTAAACTAAATAAATAATTAATAAATAAATAATAAAACAGTAGGTTTAAAAACGAGAACATTTGATTAAAATAAATACATAATAGAACTTTTATTAAAAAATAGATTAAAATTAAAAGTAATAAAAATAGAATCAAACAATAAAAATGCGTTTAAAACATAAATACTAATAATTAGACTAAAATAAATAAGTAATTTAGATTAAACTAAATAAATAAATAATGAAAAAATGCATTAAAACAAATAAATAAATAATAAAACAGTAGATTAAAAAACATGAGAACATTTGATTAAATAATGCATAATAGAACTTTTATTAAAAAATAAATAAATATTTGATTAAAATAAAAAATGCATTGTAATAAAAATAGAATAAAATAAAATAAACAAATACTTAAAATGTGTTTAAAATATGTAAATAAATGTGTTTCTCCCCTGGCCATCAGGAGTGTATCCCGGCGAGTTCTCCATCGGCCGAGGGCTCCTCCGTCGAGGTGGATAATCTGGAGGAGTTCGTGCTTCGTCCGGCTCCGCGGGGCGTCACGCTCAAGTGCCGCATCTCCCGGGATAAGAAGGGCATGGACCGCGGACTCTACCCAACATACTTCATGCACCTCGAGAGAGAAGACGGCAAGAAGGTGACGGTCTGAACACACACTCTGCTCACGTTTATCAAAAAACGCTACATCTAAACTCAGATTTTTGTATTTATTTACTTATTTATTTTATTATTTAAATCATTTATTTTTATTCCATTTTATTTATTTATTTTAATTCAGCTTACTTTTTTATTTCAATATTTTTTTTTTGTATTTTGATACAATTTACATTTATTGCATTATTTAAAAAAAATATATTATTATTTATGTCATTTTTACATTGTTTTTCAATCAAAAAATTTTTTTTGTTCATTTAATCATTTCAATACAACTTTATTCATTTATTTTAATCACATTTTTAATATTTTATTTATTTATTGTAATCACATTTTTTTATAGTTTATTTATTAATCTAATTCTTATTAATTGTGGAAGTAATTTTCTGCTGTAACAATGCTGTCAAAAGATCTGTTGAACCGGAAACATCCATAATCTCTCTCTCTCTTTCATCAGGTGTTTTTATTGGCTGGACGCAAGAGGAAAAAGAGCAAGACTTCGAACTATCTGATCTCTGTAGACGCCACAGATCTGTCCCGTGAGGGCGAGAGCTTCATAGGGAAACTCAGGTGAAAACCTTTTGCTTTACCTCATATTATCTCGTCACATCTCAGATGATTATTTGATCACAAGTGACATCCATCCAAATGGGGTTTGAGGGATACGATCATATTTAGCATTTTGAACCCGTTGATGGATGTTTCGCTGTTCAATTGATCTTTTGACAGCATTTGTTACTGCAGAAAACAATTTCCACTATTAATATGATTTAGATTAATAAATAAACTATAAAAATTTGATTATAATAAATAAATAAAATGTATTTTTTTATTTAAATAAATGAATCAATCAGATTTTATATATATATATATATATATATAAAATCTGATTGATTCATTTATTTAAATAAAAAATTATATTTTATTTATTTATTATGATCAAATTTTTATAGTTTATTTATTAATCTAAATCATATTAATAGTGGAAATTGTTTTAAAATCTGATTGATTCATTTATTTAAATAAAAAATTATATTTTATTTATTTATAAATTTTAAAAAACATTATTTAAATAAATTAATAATAAAAAAATGATTAAAATGATTAAATAAACAAGTTAAAAATATGTTAGATTGAAAAACAATGTAAAAATAAAAATTATTAAAAAAAAATATTAAAATAAGTAAATAAATGTAAATTGTATTAAAATACTAAAAATAGACCTAAATCATTTAAAAAAAATATATATATATAAAATGGGTCAATTTAAAATAAAAGTTTAGAGAAAACAGTCTACAGTGCAAAAAATCTATAAATAAATAGTAAAAATTAGATTAAAATAAATAAATAAATTATAAAAATCTGATTAATATAAATAAATACTATAAAATTTTAAGTTTGGAAGTTTATTTATTCATCTAAATAGTTAAATTTGATTAACGTAAGTAAATAACAAAGCTAACAGTACACTGCTATAGTGAATGGGAAAAAAATGTCTTAAAAATGTTTAAATTTGGTGTTTAAACATGCCTTTAAAACGTCAGTCCATCGCTCGAGGATGATCCATGGCATCTTAAAGAGTGAAACCCCCTGAGTTAGACATTGTACAGCCAAAATAAGAAACATTTGTCCTCAATCATCCAAGTGCTGTAATAACATGACATGCTTCATGTGTGTGCAGGTCTAATCTGATGGGGACGAAGTTTACCGTGTACGATAACGGCACGAACCCTTCGAAAAGCCCCGGAGCGCTGCTGGAGGAGAGCAACACACGCCAGGAGCTCGCCGCCATCTGCTACGTGAGTGTGTGTGTGCGTGTGTGCGTGTGTGTTCCCAACGGTGTCCGGACACTTCTTATTGTTGTCCTCTTCTTAAATTTCTTGACTTTGACTTTTTGACATACAAGTCCTGGAAAACCTTTGAAACAACAGCCATATTTACGAAGAGGTACTTGAAAGTGCTTGACTTATTTAAATACAATATATATGAAATTTTAAATTTTTTGGAAAAAACAACAACAACACAAATACAATCTTTTCACGGAAAACCCCCATCAGACCTTTCCTCGATACGAAGTACGCCAACATCATAATATAAAATATTATTTATTGATATCAATAACAGCCATTATAAACGTTGTATTTAATATATTATTACATACGTTGTAAGTTGTATTTTGGATACCTTATATCTGTGTAATTTGAGTTTCCTTAAAAAATACTAAAGATATTGTTTGATAAGTGCGATCTCTGATTGTAGTCCTTGAAAACCAAAAAGTAGTGCTTGAAAAGTCCTTGAATTTCATTTTACAGTATCTATATGAACCCTGTGTGTGTGTGTGTGTGTGTGTTTTCAGGAGACTAATGTTCTGGGCTTCAAAGGGCCGCGGAAGATGACTGTGATCATTCCTGGCATGAACATGAATTTCGAACGGGTCCCGGTTCGGCCCCCTTGTGTGAGTGTTTCTGCTGAAAGCTGTCAATCAGATGGTCATTATGAGCGCAGACTGCGATTGATGCATGAATGTGTGTGTGTGTGTGTTTCAGGAGCAGGAGTCTCTGCTGAGTAAATGGCAGAATCATTCCCTGGACAATCTGATAGAGCTGCATAATAAAGCGCCGGTGTGGAACGACGACACTCAGTCATACGTGTTAAACTTCCACGGTAGAGTCACTCAGGCGTCCGTCAAGAACTTTCAGATCGTCCACGACAATGACCGTAAGTTACATGAGGCCATAACTAATCTGGTAAACTCCCCCTGTGGTGAAAATCAAGCTTTTAATGTTGTTTTTATGTCTGTGGCGTCAAGACAAACCATGTGTAAGTTCATAAGTCGACAGCATTGCTGAGTATTTCCTCCTTAAAACTGCAGTGAACCAAAGACAGTCTCAAAAACACGGTTTGAAATCGCTGGTGTTTCTGACGTCACAAACGACCTTGTAACCAATCAGATCAACGTGTGATCGTCAACCAGTGGATCTCTGAGCTGAGGGAGTGAGTGGAGGCGGGGGTCATTTGCATATTCATAGAACCGCGTATACTAAATGAGGCAAGGGTGTCGAGTTACATTCAAGATATTTTAAGGCATGAAGGAAAAAACGTTTAAATGTATCATGTTGCTGATCAAAGATGAGTTAAGGAATAAAAATGATTGACGAGAGGGGGACTTTAACAGTTAACGATAATACCGTAAAACTTCAAATAATAGCCCGGGCTTTTATTTTCCCAAATCGTCGAACTGCACCGGCTTGTATTTGAGACAGGCGTCTATATGAGACAGGCCTTTATAATTTAGTGTTGAGATGTTGTTCATTGAGTGTAGGCCTAGAGTCTCTAATCTCTAAAAATCTAAAATCCCTTAGTTACTGTTGCTACGTCCGAGAAACAAACTTCATCAGGGCTCTGGTATCAACATGGCTTATGCTGTGACAGCTCTTCCTGCTGACATTTTATCAAACTTTTATAAAGCAGCAAATAAAGTGTCCGATAGAAGTAGGCAAAAGGGGCTGCAATATACGTTTGAAGGCTATATTCACGACATACAGGTGAAACGCAAGGAACAACAAGGCATCCAAATAGAGGCAAAAGCAAACCGGTCACAGTCAAAAGAGACGGAGATGGAGGCTGGGACTCACAATATCAAGGAGCAACACTGTTCATGCAAAGCTGGAGGTCTCTATTCACTTCTATAATCGTTATTACAAAGCAAACGGACTACGCGAGTATAACGCTGTATTTATTAGCAGCGTGTGCTAGACGACACTTGTCAGGATTTGACTTCGGTTTGGGAAGGGAAAAAAACGCACACCCCCCTCCAACCTCTCTGGGAAACGCGTATCTGTGTTACAGATGCCCCACGCACAACGTTTAACCATATTTTTGATAAAACTACGACGGTAAGAGCCTGCCGAGACCAAAAATATGAGACGCCTGTGTTAAAGTCAATGGAGCGCTGTGAAAAAGTGTCGGACCTCTGTGGGAGCTCGTTCTTGGCTGCGCTGTGATTGGTCAATCTACATTTTAGGGTGTGGCTTAGCCAAAGGCAAATTGATTTTGATTAATATGCGCGAGGGAGAGAGAGCAAGACAGCGCTCGTGTTGTTTGAAGACGTGAGAGTGTGCGCTCTCTCGCTCTCTCGCTCTCTCTCTCTCTGCTCGTTATACCCTGTCAAGCGCAGCAGTCATTCTTCTACATCACTCACCGATTAAAAAAGGCGTTGGCGTGACAAAAATTTGCTTTGGCGGCCGCCAAAAAGCGTACGCTCTGACGGGTTTTAGAAGATTAAATACAACCCGAAACTAAAAAACAGACCCGGCCTCTATTTACCCAAACCTGTCGCCACACCAGGCGTGTAAAAGAGACAAGCGTCTATTATTTGAATATATAGGACTCGGCTATTATTTGAAGTTTTACGGTAAGCCTGCTCTTCGTATAATGGACTTTCCAGGAAGGTTTTGTCTGCGCTGTTGTGATTGTGTGTTGGTGTGTTTTCAGCGGATTACATCGTGATGCAGTTTGGCCGTGTGGCGGAGGACATCTTTACTCTGGACTTTAACTACCCCATGTGTGCCCTGCAGGCGTTTGCTATCGGCCTGTCCAGTTTCGACAGCAAACTGGCCTGCGAGTGAATCTGTGACACGACACACACGAACCTCTTCCACTCAGGACACTAAAGCACAATCGTCTCGTTACGGATTTGTGCTCCATAGATCACAAACAAGGACCAAATTAATCCGCTTTTGTAAATGAAACGCATCAAACATTCGTGAGATATCATGCGAGTTATTCACCCGCTTTCTCTTTTCCGAAAAGAGAAGATGCACGGGATTTATGCTTTAATTGGACCAATAGAAAAGACACTGTGGGATATTGTGCAACGGAGAGATTTTCATGATATTTTCTGTGATGTTATGAAAGTGTCTGATGGATTTGAGAAGGACGTCTATAGGGAGAATCTCACAGGGTTAGTTCACTTTAAAATGAAAATTAAGTAATTTACTCACCCTGGTGTTGTTAAAATGCCGTTTGCCCTTCTTTCTTTTTTGGACCAGGAAAGGAGAAATGTTAAAAAATGTTGTTCTTCCATATAATGGCAGTGAATAGCGACCAGAATCAAGCTTTAAAAAAATATGTGAAAATATCACAAGAAGGTCCCGTGTCGTAAGTGTGAATCCAAGTGTAAGTAAAAAAAACACCAAGATTTAATGTATTATTTAAAGAAAATGTCCTGCTCACGGCCGCTGATCTTCTCACGCGTTCATGTTCACAGAAAAACACACAAGTTGTGAGAAATCAAGATTCATTTACTTTTAACTTTACCAAACCCTATTGTATATTCTTAGAAAACGTGGGGTATAAATGACACGTGTCATATGGGACCGTTCTGTGATACTTTTGCAGCTTTTTTTTTTTAAATCTTAAATTTTAAATATTGTAGACGAGCGTGAACGGGACATTTTTTTAGGTCTGAAAAAGAAAGAAGGGCATTTGGCACTAGAACAACACTAGGGTGAGCAAATGATCACTTCATTTTAATTTTAGGGTAAACTATCCCTATAAGAACCAATTCTGGTCAGATTTCACCAGAAAAAAAATAAGAAGTTATATTTTGCATGGAGAAAATTAAACAGCAACAAAAAATCATGTAATATAGAGTAAAAATTGTATGACGGTAAATGGGAATTACAGATATTAAAATGCGCTTAATTTTCTTCAGGTACAATATAATTTCTCTTTTTCCTTTTGATAATGGGGTGATATGAATATACGTTTTCTTCATATTTACATTTTTATTCGGATGATGTTGTTGTATTTTTGCATTCATGGTAGAATATGAAAATTTTAACACCTTCTGATTTTAAATGTGGTTGATTATTTGTCTTTTTAAATATTTGCTCACCAACAATCCCTGAGAAAACACATTGCATGTTGATAAACGCTGGACTCTTTGGCCACGTCTCAGTCGTCCAGCTTCCCTCTCGTGCCCTTGTGTTAACCTTTGAGAACTGACGCACACTTTTGAGAATGCACACTTCTGGTAATTACCGCTGCTGCATGGATTGTGAAAGTTGCCTTAACATGTTGCTGTAGTGTAAATAGTGTCTGAATGCTGTGTTTACATCATGAGAAACTAGAGAAAGGGAAGTTCAAGCACATTTGTTCCTGTTAAGTGTGTATTGCTATTGATATGACTGATGTGTGTGTTGATATTCATCATCTGTTGTGTGTGTGTGTGTGTGTGTGTGTGTGTGTGTGTGTGTGTGTGTGTGTGTGTGTGTGTGTGTGTGTCAGCCAAGAGTGTACTGATATATATGTATATTAAAAAAAGCAAAACATTTTTGTTTTCATTTTAAAACGATAACCTGTTTGCACAAACTGTATTTTATGATGACACTGTTGGTAGAAATACAGTTATTAAAAGTCATAAATATTTGAAAAAAGAAAACTGCGTTACTTTTTATCCTTTATCATATGGGCTGGAAATACAAAACCTGCAACACGTTTATCCATAAATCCAATGCCAAAAAAATTTACCAGAGCTTCCTTGGCACAGATTTTTAGCCTTTTCAACCTGATTGGCTATATATATATATATATATATATATATTATAACTTGGACTTAAATTAACCTTCATTCTAATCTGGTAAACACTTTTCTAGATAAATACAAAAGTATCTAACTCAATTTAAATTTTCATGTCTATATTATGAACCTTCATTTCAATCTGGTAAACGCTGTAAAATCAGTGGCATGTGTATTAATCATACAACAGTGCAATGTCTTTCTGAGATTGCGCATGCGTAGTACACGAGTGAACCGTTACTGCAGTGCGCATGCGCGGACGTCTGGCGTCGAATGGCGCCTTTTCTCAGTTTTCTGATTCTGAGGTGAGTCACCTTTACCTGACGACAAATTAATTATGTCATTGAGTTTCGGAAAGTTATGAAATATCAAACATAAGGTGGAGATTATAAAGTGTGCGAATTTATTTTTAAATGTCTACAGGAGGTTTTCTGGCGCAATCTGTTCGTCACGCGCAACGTTAATTGTCCTTAGCTTAGCATAGTTAGACACACTTAACGTTAGTTTTCAAAGATTACATTTTATAAACAGACCACTAACGGTTTTTATGGTATATTTGTGATATTAACATGTACAATAAAGTGATAAACAATTACATTATTTATTGTCAATATCTGACCTGAAGGAAATTACTCGAGTTGCCGTGGTTGCTAGGGTTACCTCTTCAGACGAACGGTTTCAGTTCACGAGTGTTTGTGTTTACCGCCAAGTGAAACAATTTTGCCAGTTAAATAGATTAAATACATTATCAAGATGCCCTTGGATAAATAATCCAAACATTCTCTACAGCGCTTGGAGAATATAAAGCTAATTATGTTGACATACACACTCAGGTAGGAATATTTATGACAGCTCAGGTCATAAATCAACTTGTTTTAGTGACATGAGAGTTTCATCAGAACACGTATTATATGTGTTATCTTGATCTATTATATTCCACAATATAGCCAATACCAGAAAGGAGAAAATGCCACCAGCAGCACCCTGATGAGATTGAGTCTTTTAGCTTGACTAGATGTGAACACCACACTATTCAATATTATCACACTGGTACATCAAATAGACCTTTGTTGCTTTTCATATTATAGACTATTTGGGAGATGACGTCAGTTACATCACTTGCACTGACTATTTATTAATATTTTTTGGTCACACTGATTTTAACAAAGAACTATTTTTATTGAACGGAAGGAGAAAATTTGTTTATAGAAGAAAATTGCGTCCTCGTTCACCTTAAGTAAGGCAGATAAATAATATTGTTGAATAATTAAATGTCCACAACTAAGCAAGCCAAAAGCCAAGGCAACAGTGGCAAGATACCAAAAGTCCATCAGTGACAGAATGGGGAAAAAAAACATGGGAGAACCAGGCTCAGTCGGGGGCCAGTTCTCCTCTGGACAACCAGCGGACAGTGTATGATTATGATTCAGGCAGCATTACAGGTCAGAAGTCAGATTGGATCAGAACATTCAGAATATTAATCCAGTTCCATCTGGATTAATAGATCAGCCGATAAATATCGCTGGCCAATACATCAGTGCATCTCTACTAATTATTAATGCATCACCTATGTACTAAAACATTGCATGATTAAATAATCTCAAGTCTTGACATACATAACTAAAAATTATAAGGATACTTGCACTCTTAAAAATGCATGAAGGTCATTGCATTTGATAGATTATCAAACCAAATGTCCTTTTAAAGAAAGATGGCACATGTATAAAATACAAAAAAAAAAAAAATCATGTTAGTTGTGGTTCACTGTTGTTGTTGATTTGCTGGAAAAACATTAAGTGGCGTGCTCAAGTCTCCAGTGCAGAAATATGGGAACACCCTCTCTGGAAATCCACCTTCGTAGGAGCACAAAATTCGGTTTCTGAAGGGATCAATGAATCTCAGCTGTCCTTTGTAAAAGTCCAGCTGCAGTCGGATGATACTCGGCCTCTCATCATCATCATCATCATCATCAATATCTCTGGCAGGTTTATGACCTTTCTTGTATCTCCCATCCACGTAACGGAAACACCAAAAACGCCTCATTGGATCCATTTTGTAAAGTTTTTTGCGGTTCACTGTTTCCCCCACCACTCCCAGTGTCCAGTGGTCGTTGTCTCCCACCTCCACGTCCCAGCAGTGCAGACCCGAGCTAAAGCCCTCTGAGGCCAACACTCCCACATACAGCCTCTCTGGGATATCAGACACTTTAATTTTATTTTGCATGTACTGAACACTGGTGCAATCCTGTGACACCCTCAGTTTATCTGATGCTGTGTCTGGGTCCAGAGTCACAGGAGCTGTAAACACAGATGAGCGTAAACTACCGCGGTCAGTACCAGTTGTCGGATGTCGGAATATGTGTTTGTCTTGTTATTTTTTCTGGTCCACACAATAAAAGTGGATGGTGACCAGAGGCTTGGTCCAAAAAGACATACCAACTGTACTTTCATGGTATTCATGCTACTAGGGAAAGGAAGACGGCTTCAGCTGACGCTAGGGGTGGGCGCTATACCGGTATGAACGTGACTACCGGTATTATGTTGTACCATGATATGGATTTTGCGATACAAAGGATACCGTTAGATATTCATAAATTCAAATTTTGCAGTTATATAATATTGTTTTGTTCAATTTGGTACTCTTTACAACTTTTAACACTACTAATGATTAGGGGGTTGGCGAGACGGCCACAATTCAACCCGAAAGAAGTCATATAACCATGTCAATAACTAAAAAAAAAAACTGCATAGTGTCCCTTTAACATAATGTTGTCTTCAATAGGCACTACTGAAATCACACTATTTCATATTTATTGAATATAACTTATTCAATAAACCAAACTCCAGTGTTACTAGTCTTACGAATTATTAACAAAGGAATTATTTTTATCCCCACAAAATAAAAAGTGGAAAGACATAAGTTAATTCAGGCCTACCTCATGTTGCACGTTTGCACTTTTTGAGAAAAACAATGGCACAATAAAAAAAGATTTTTCAGGTCTATGTCCGATTAAATCCCTCACCTTTTTCTAGTTATAGGTTTAAAATACATATTTTGCCTGTAATTTAACTAAGGTGTACTAAAATGTGATTCCAATTGTTTTTCTCATATTGCAATATAAAGCAGCCATCGTGTTTCTCAGGAGCTAATTACCCTCCTCCCTCCCCAGCTCCTCTCGTTTCTCAGGAGCTGATTACCCTCCTCCCTCCCCATCTCCTCTCGTTTCTCAGGAGCGCATTACCCTCCTCCCTCCCCAGCTCCTCTCGTTTCTCAGGAGCTGATTACCCTCCTCCCTCCCCAGCTCCACTTGTTTCTCATGAGCTAATTACCCTCCTCCCTCCCCAGCTCCTCTCGTTTCTCAGGAGCTGATTACCCTCCTCCATCCCCAGCTCCTCTCGTTTCTCAGGAGCTAACCCTCCTCCCTCCCCAGCTCCTCTTGTTTCTCAGGAGCTGATTACCCTCCTCCCTCCCCAGCTCCTCTCGTTTCTCAGGAGCTGATTACCCTCCTCTCTCCTCAGCTCCTCTCGTTTCTCAGGAGCGCATTACCCTCCTCCCTCCCCAGCTCCTCTCGTTTCTCAGGAGCTGATTACCCTCCTCCCTCCCCAGCTCCTCTCGTTTCTCAGGAGCTGATTACCCTCCTCCCTCCCCAGCTCCACTTGTTTCTCATGAGCTAATTACCCTACTCCCTTTCCAGCTCCTCTCGTTTCTCAGGAGCTGATTACCCTCCTCCCTCCCCAGCTCCTCTCGTTTCTCAGGAGCTGATTACCCTCCTCCCTCCCCAGCTCCTCTCGTTTCTCAGGAGCTAATTACCCTCCTCCCTCCCCAGCTCCTCTCGTTTCTCAGGAGCTAATTACCCTCCTCCCTCCCCAGCTCCTCTCGTTTCTCAGGAGCTAATTACCCTCCTCCCTCCCCAGCTCCTCTCGTTTCTCAGGAGCTAATTACCCTCCTCCCTCCCCAGCTCCTCTCGTTTCTCAGGAGCTGATTACCCTCCTCCCTCCCCAGCTCCTCTCGTTTCTCAGGAGCTAATTACCCTCCTCCCTCCCCAGCTCCTCTCGTTTCTCAGGAGCTGATTACCCTCCTCCCTCCCCATCTCCTCTTGTTTCTCAGGAGCTAATTACCCTCCTCCCTCCCCAGCTCCTCTCGTTTCTCAGGAGCTAATTACCCTCCTCCCTCCCCAGCTCCTCTCGTTTCTCAGGAGCTGATTACCCTCCTCCCTCCCCAGCTCCTCTCGTTTCTCAGGAGCTAATTACCCTCCTCCCTCCCCAGCTCCTCTCGTTTCTCAGGAGCTAATTACCCTCCTCCCTCCCCAGCTCCTCTCGTTTCTCAGGAGCTAATTACCCTCCTCCCTCCCCAGCTCCTCTCGTTTCTCAGGAGCTAATTACCCTCCTCCCTCCCCAGCTCCTCTCGTTTCTCAGGAGCTAATTACCCTCCTCCCTCCCCAGCTCCTCTCGTTTCTCAGGAGCTGATTACCCTCCTCCCTCCCCAGCTCCTCTCGTTTCTCAGGAGCTGATTACCCTCCTCCCTCCCCAGCTCCTCTCGTTTCTCAGGAGCTGATTACCCTCCTCCCTCCCCATCTCCTCTTGTTTCTCAGGAGCTAACCCTCCTCCCTCCCCAGCTCCTCTCGTTTCTCAGGAGCTGATTACCCTCCTCCCTCCCCAGCTCCTCTCGTTTCTCAGGAGCTGATTACCCTCCTCCCTCCCCATCTCCTCTTGTTTCTCAGGAGCTGATTACCCTCCTCCCTCCCCAGCTCCTCTCGTTTCTCAGGAGCTGATTACCCTCCTCCCTCCCCAGCTCCTCTCGTTTCTCAGGAGCGCATTACCCTCCTCCCCCCCCCAGCTCCTCTCGTTTCTCAGGAACTGATTATCTTCCTCCATCCCAAGCTCCTCTCGTTTCTCAGGAGCGCATTACCCTCCTCCCCCCCCCCAGCTCCTCTCGTTTCTCAGGAGCGCATTACCCCCCCCCCCCCCAGCTCCTCTCGTTTCTCAGGAGCGCATTACCCTCCTCCCTCCCCAGCTCCTCTCGTTTCTCAGGAGCTCATTACCCTCCTCCATCCCCAGCTCCTCTCGTTTCTCAGGAGCTAATTACCCTCCTCCATCCCCAGCTCCTCTTGTTTCTCAGGAGCGCATTACCCTCCTCCCTCCCCAGCTCCTCTCGTTTCTCAGGAGCTAATTACCCTCCTCCCTCCCCAGCTCCTCTCGTTTCTCAGGAGCGCATTACCCCCCCCCCCCCCAGCTCCTCTCGTTTCTCAGGAGCGCATTACCCTCCTCCCTCCCCAGCTCCTCTCGTTTCTCAGGAGCGCATTACCCTCCTCCCTCCCCAGCTCCTCTCGTTTCTCAGGAGCTGATTACCCTCCTCCCTCCCCATCTCCTCTCGTTTCTCAGGAGCTAATTACCCTCCTCCATCCCCAGCTCCTCTTGTTTCTCAGGAGCGCATTACCCTCCTCCCTCCCCAGCTCCTCTCGTTTCTCAGGAGCTAATTACCCTCCTCCCTCCCCAGCTCCTCTCGTTTCTCAGGAGCGCATTACCCTCCTCCCTCCCCATCTCCTCTCGTTTCTCAGGAGCTAATTACCCTCCTCCATCCCCAGCTCCTCTCGTTTCTCAGGAGCTGATTACCCTCCTCCATCCCCAGCTCCTCTCGTTTCTCAGGAGCGCATTACCCTCCTCCCCCCCCCAGCTCCTCTCGTTTCTCAGGAGCTGATTACCCTCCTCCCCCCCCAGCTCCTCTCGTTTCTCAGGAGCGCATTACCCTCCTCCCCCCCCAGCTCCTCTCGTTTCTCAGGAGCGCATTACCCTCCTCCCTCCCCAGCTCCTCTCGTTTCTCAGGAGCTAATTACCCTCCTCCCTCCCCAGCTCCACCTCTCGTCAGTCAGGATTTGGCATTCTGATTCCCCTTGAATCAGAATTAATTCTCTAATTATGTTGTACTTTAAAATCTTGAATTAATGATATCTGCATACATACATGTTGGTTCTGTTCTGTTCTGTTCATTTTTGAGGCAAAATTTTAGCATGTAATTTAAACAAACGGTCTAAAACTGTTTCCCCTTCTGCTTCCCTCCTTAATGCTACTCTGAATACATAACAAACTCCAGTACAAGACACATATGTACACAAAAATACAGGATTTATACGGAATATACGGAAAGAAAACGCCTCAGGTTACGTATGTAACCCTGGTTACCTGAGAGGGAACGAGACGCTGCTTTGAAACGCTGCGTGTGTCGTGAAGCACGTGTATAATCAGTCCAATGGAAAGACGAGACGTCACGGGTGACGTCACCGACCAGGAAACTATGAAGCACACCTGAAAACAGACCGCGCCAGCTTCTGATAGCCCGAAGCAAGTCGATCACCGGCATGCAGGGAGTATGGCAGGGCAACGCAGCATCTCGTTCTCTCTCAGGGAACCAGGGTTACATACGTAACCTGAGACGTTCCCTTTCAAGGGAACTCGAGTTGCGTTGAGACGCTGTGGGAGCACCATACCCACAACGCTATAATAACAAAGGCCTGTTCTGTGTGAAGTCTCTGCGCACACTAAGAAGCAAGCACCCTAAACCCTGGAGTGGAGCCAAGATCCAAGTCATAAAAACGAACAAATGTATGCGGTGAGGACCAGCCTGCCGCATCACAGATGTCATGGAGGGAAATCCCCGATAATAAAGCCTTAGAGGCAGCCATACTCCTGGTAGAATGGGCCCAGACAGCCAAAGGTGAAGGCTGACCGGCCGCTTCATAAGCAAGTGAGATAAGTCGGAGATGTCTGAGGATTAAAAACTCGAAATGGAACCGGTTTCTTCCACGACTTCGACACCTCAGTGTGGAGATCGGGAAAAAACTGCAAACCCCGGCGAGGAGGCTGTGATCTAGATGGTAGAAATCTTTCATCTAGTAAACTCTTGCTTTCATATTGTTCCTTGGCTGGCCAGTCAATATTTACTCTGGCAACAGCGCGAGTCACAACCTCCATAAGCTCCAGATCAACATCAGGAGTATGAGCTGGCGAACTCTCTTAATCCCCCGCATTAATGCTGATGACATCCAATTCCTTTGAACTGGATAGTCGCAGCATTGGTGCATCATCTCAGGGAGAAGAAACCGCAGTGTGTGCTTCTCCCTGAGACAAGGAACTGGATCTGGCAGGTGAAGGCTGAGATAGGGCTGGGCCGTCTCAAATCCCGCTGTCAGATCCATTTGCGAACCCCAAGATGTGCTTCGCCGCTGTGCCTTGGCAGCAGTGGGACCCGCACCCTGGGGAGCGTGCACCAAGCCGTCCTCCTTGAAGAACGCTCGGCGGGAGCAGAGCGTCCTCATGGACAGCTTCTCGCAATGCTCACAGTCAGCTCCCTTGAGAACTGACTGGGCATGCTCCACTCCCAAACAAGCAACACAAAGCTGATGTGTGTCCCCACCCGTGATGAAACGAGGGCAAGGAACAACACATCGCTTAAAATCTTGCTTGTTTGCCATAATAGATAGATAGATAGATAGATAGATAGATAGATAGATAGATAGATAGATAGATGGATATTGTGCTTGCAATGACAGACAACAATAAATAGACAGGGACAGTATACAGAGAGTGCTTGCTAAAGGTACAGAAGCTGGCGCGGTCGGTTTTCAGGTGTGCTTTATAGTTTCCTGGTCGGTGACGTCACCCGTGATGTCTCGTCTTTCCATTGGACTGATTATACACGTGCTTCACGACGCAATCACGCAGGGGGCGTTCCCACAGCGTCTCAATGCAGCTCGAGTTATATATACAAAAATTATAGTATATTTTTTTTGTCCATGTTGGACCTTTCAAGCCTCTGGTCACCATAAACCGTATAAGAGTTGCACAAAATTGTCCATTTTTGTTCCATGGAAATAAACATACAATTTGGAACAACATTTGTTAAAATTATGTCTTTAAGGAGACGTCATTACTTACGCTGTTCCACAAGGTTCTGCATTCTGGCCCAGGTGGTGAAGATCAGTGTCTGAATGGGATGGTGTTGAAATTCCTCCATTTCAGGGGTCAAGTCTGGTGATGATGGGTGTTTGAATCTGTGTACATAAACAGTTAGATATACAGGTGAAACTAAAAAAAATTGAATATCGTGCAAAAGTACATTTATTTCAGTAATTCAACTTAAAAGGTTAAACTATAGACTCTATAGAAACTATAGAAATGATATAGACTCATTACATGCAAAGTGAGATATTTCAAGCCTTTATTTGTTATAATTTTGATGATTATGGCTTACAGCTTATGAAAACCCCAAATTCAAAATTAGAATATTGTGAATACATTTTCATAGCTGTAAGCCATAATCATTACAATTATAACAAATAAAGGCCTTTTGATATCTCACTTTGCATGTAATGAGTTTATATAATATATTAGTTTCACCTTTTAAGTTGAATTACTGAAATAAATGAAAACTGACATTTTTCGAGTTTCACCTGTATGTGTAATTTTTTTAAAGATAATTTGGTATGGGATTTTAGCTGTATAAAAAGCTAATTGCAAAAAGACTCACTTTTTCAATGCATCCCTGTAATTCTGAATGAGAAATAAAAAAACAGTTAGTGCTCAGTCATGTGTGTGAACATCATGGACATTGATTATTAGACATGTTTACAGCTCTCTGATAGACTTTAGTCCCTGGTGTCATGCGTATCCTATCTGTACCTGGAGAAAAGTGATGTTTTCAGCTTCCAAGTGCTTCCAGAGAGTTGCCGTCCTCTCAGACAGATCTGACATCTGTGCGGACAGATCCTCCATTCTGGCCTTGAGTTTCTCATCTCGATTTTGCATTTCTTTACGCAACGCTCCAATCCGTTTCTCTTCCTCCTCTCTAAGAAACCGATAGAGCTTCTCAAATTCCTTCTTGATCTTGCTTTCTTCTACACTGGTGTGTTCCTGAAATGGTTTAAGAAGGTTTAATCCTTTCTGTTAAAGTCCCCCTGTGGTGAGAATCCAGCTTTTAATGTTGTTTATATGTCTATGTGTTGTTTTTAATATGCTTTAAGACAAATCATGTGTAAATTCATAAGTCGACGCCATTGCTGAGTACTTTCTCCTTAAAACTGCAGTGAACCAAAGACAGTCTCAAAAACATGATTTGAAATCGCTGGTGTTTCTGACATCACAAACTACCTTGTAACCAATCAGATCAGCTTGTGATCATCAACGAGTGGATCTCTGAGCTGCTGTGAGTGAGTGGAGGCGAGGCTCATTTGCATATTCATAGAACGTCCGTTCCCTGAAGGAGGGAACGGAGGACGTAGTCGACGTTGACTGGATGGGGATCACGCTAGGGAGCCAATCGTCTTCGAGTACTATTGAACGAGCCAATGAAATTGGCGTGCATGATGACATCACACACTCCGCCCCCGCGGCGCGGGTATAAATACGGAAGTGGATGCACGCACTAGTTGCTTTTTCGCTGAGGAGCCGAGTGTAACTCGGAGTTAGTGGTGGTCCAGCGGTAGTGGCAAGGGGACTGTCCTCTGTTCTCTTTTTCAGGGATTGGATGGGTTACATACGCATGGTGGTTATATACGCAACCAGGACGTTCCCTTTCAGTCGAGAACGTCAGACGTAGTCGACGTCGACTGAATGGGGATAACAATTGAAAACTCAACTGGACAGTGACTGCAGGGCAGGCTCTGACAAGGGAAGACAAGGGAAGACACTTCCGTGGAAGAATACACATATGGGATCGCCGTAGGGATCACAGCATATAGACCCAGCCTAACACAGGTTCCACCAGTGCATACGAGTGATAGGCCTGGCTTCGGACGTTCCGCCACGTCCGTTGTCGAAGGGTATGGAGGAACTCAACAGGGTTCGGCTAAAAAAGGGGAACTTAACTGGAGCAAAAAAATTGCGCACGTATCCAGTCCATATGAGGGTAATGGCGCAGCAAGCCGACAACGAACAGGGCTTACAGTGAAACTGGCTTAATGCAAAGGGAGCCCACGGGAAGCAGCGTTTCGACTAAGGTGTCGCCCAGCCCCCAACTCTAGAATATCTGCCAGTGAAGCACGTATAACCGCAATGAAGCGGCCAGACAGAGAAAGCCAGGGCTGGGTCTGCCTCATCCGGGGCAGCGCCTGCAGGCTCACCACCTGGTCCCAGTTTAAGTGAGAGGTAGAAACCTTGGTCACATATCCAGGCCGGGGTCTCAGCTCGTGAGAGTTAGCCGGCCCGAATTCCACGCACCAATTCCAGGTTGACCAAAAGTGAGCAAGTCCCTACCCTCTAGTAGAGACCATGCGAGCAGGAGAACTGTTTAAAAACAGAATTTTTAACTCACTGCCTGCAGTGGCTCAGGGGTGGTGTCTACAGTGCAGAAGCACCAGAGATACGGCCCAAGAGGATAATGAGGGGCACAAGGCTTTTTTAGATTCCCTTGTTCCCTCAGGAACCTGACGATTAGGATGTGCTTCCCATGCTTCTGCATCATGATGTGCGTCAAGAAAACAGAGGCAGAATCATTTTGAGGGTGGAGGAAAACAGCCTACTCCAACACATCTTGCAGGAAAGAGAGCACTGAAATGACCGAACGCTCTCAGGATCTCCTCATGGAGAGAAGACTCACTCAACAAATAGGTTCCACTTCTAATTGGCGTGAGCACAACTTTCTCTTTTTAAGGGGTGCTCGCAGAAGTGATGGTAAATACTACACTTTCCTGCGGTAGCCACCTGAACCTCCGCGTCCAGTTAGGACCGGCCTGGAATCTCTCCAGGGGTTTGAACGCGGGTGCCATTATGCCCCGTCCCTGAAATGTATTCAGGGGAAGTCATGAAGGCTGTCGAGGGGAACTAAGTCTGGTTGGGCCAATAAGGGGCGACTATCAAGACCTACTCCACTCCTGACTTAACACAGTAGGTGCAAGCGACATGCGCGCACAAGACAAGAGCACTGCTCAACACTAGATGTGAAGATCATTGAGCTTCAGGAGCATCTCTGCTCAACACCTGAGTGTGATGTAATTCACTGAGCTTCAGGAGCATTTCTGCTCAACACCTGAATGTGATGAAAATCACTGAACTTGAGCAGGCGCCAAGTGACAATGAATCGCATAGCCGCTTTCTTAGAAGCCTCACTGGGGAACGCATTTCTGCGGAGCCCCGGGGTCAGCTGAGAGCCAGTGTCTGTCCAAGGGTTGTCCGTTCAGACAGAAACACAACTGGCAGAGGGACGAGTCCGGAGAGGCAAACAGATGTAACTGTGCGGCCCTGAAGTGGTCCCTGCCCAGCTGGTCCGCCAGGGGATGGAGTCTCCACTCTCCCTGGCCATAGCTGTCGTGAGGCTCGTTGGCGGTCCTTTTGAGCATGCCGGAAGAAATAGTGGAATGAAGCGACCTCAGAAGCTTCTGACTCCAAGGAGGAGGTGACGGGCGAGTTGTGACATGCGAGGGAAGCTTAGTACCAGTACCAGCTCGCTGAGCAGCGGTGGCTCAAAGCGAGGTGAACTGCAACAACTCGAGGTAATGAATTAGGGCTCAACATTAAGCCTTTTCATGTGCTTGTCCTTCGGACAAGTAAATCTATCATTCACTTGTCCGAGTTAAAAAGTTGCTTGTCCGGATTTTTTTTGTGTGTGTGTTTATTTATTCTGAAGCAATATTCTCATCAGAGTTCAATCAGCTTTGATATATTTAAACCGGCATATTGTAATATCTGCACCTTTAAAGATGAACTCAACTGAAAAAAATCGACGTTGATAACGTGTTGTTTATGACAATTAAAAGTAAATTACACTAAAAATTTTAATAAAAAATATCAATATAGCTTTTTTTAAAGCAACACAAAAATTGCGCTTGTTAGTATAAGAACGCTGGCAGTTTCGATGACGTCACTGGCATGGTAGGACGCGCAAAGGTGCATAGGCAACAGCTGCAGGTCCTAATACACAGACGAAAATTAGCACTTTTAACGGCATGGGTTACGCATTTGAACCTGTGAGGGACAGTCCAGTAGTTTCTGACTACCACCACCACATGGAGGATCAGTTTCAGGCTCCACATAGCCTACAGCACAGGATCGTTTGGGGCGAAGTGACTGGTGTGGGTGTGTGAGCTGCCGGAGCATGGACACTGCACCGGAGTCAATCTGTTGCAGAGAAAATCGTTTCTATTTTGTTTTAGTTGTTCTTGTTGCTTTGCTGCAACAGATGAATAAAAATCTATTAGTTTTTATGTTTTATTCATGGATATTTCTAGTTCGCGGGAGTCCCGCGAATCGTTTTATTTATAACCCGCACACACAGAGTGAGTGCATTACCGCCCGCGCTCGCACTCGGAGTCTCGGCCATCAGATCTAGTGCCGCGCAGCACTCTATTGCGTTGGGAGTGCACGTCTCAAGGATAGTGTCGGGAAATATCGCTCGGGCAGAATAAGCTCTAGTTCACTCTTCCTACCCTAAGGAACCGAGAGTTGTCATCCAGTCTCTTTGGTAGAGAGAGAGAGAGAGAGAGAGAGACGAGGAAAACAAACAAGCATGCAAATGGAAATTATCGCGGCCGGAAAAATTATCGAGCTAATTTTTTTTTTTGTCGTGCGATTAATTTATTTATTGACTATCGCGACAGGGCTACTAAATAGTCTGTCACTAAAAAATGCACACTACAGACTCGAAACCCAGGGGCTGTCGGAGGGCTAGACAGTTTTAAGGCAGCTAGCCATGACTTGAGGGCTGGTTTCCTTGGTCAAAGGTAGCCTTTGAAAATGTATCGTAACCCCAGCTGCCTTAGCCCTATACAATTCATTACTACAGCCAGGGGCAATACAGTATGAACCCCCCCCTAGACCTGTTGGTTTCTGTTTCCCCAGCCATGTCAGATAGCCTCACACTATTTACATGCAATGGCTGCTCTGCTGGTGTTGGTTGGCAACGGAGTAGCCTACCATGCCAGTGACGTAGCCGAATGTTGAAATCCAACACGGTGGCGCCCGTGTAACAAAAACAACATTTTCAACGTACAGTTTTATCCCTTTTAACAAATTCTGCCATTTTAATAATTGTACCAATGATAATAAATAAAATACATCTGTTATATTACAGATGTATTTTTCAAATTTCAGTTCAGTTCATCTTTAAAGGGCATCCCCTCCCCCAATCTTATTAAATGTATGTTTCATCTTTCATTTTAAATTCCTAAATTTGATCAATAAATTCAATTATTTACAATAATAAGACACTATTGGGCTGTTACCCTAGGTAGGCTGATTAAATTAAACCATTTACACTGAAAAAATTACAATTGCATAAAATAATGTTATGAAATTTATTTAAATATACAAATAAGAAACGTTGGAAAGAATTATACTACTTTTAAGCATAACACTAAACTGCCAGTAGGTAGCGGCAGACGGCCGTCATAATGAGCGAGTCATTGATTCTTTAATTCAAACGATTCGCTCAAACGGCTGATTCATTTAACAATGAAAACACGGTTGACTGTTCCTGTGAGATGTGCTGTGGTTCTGCTGTGATTTTTGTTTGGAACCATTTTTGCTGCTGAAACAGAACAAAAACAGCCAATATTGCATCTAAAATGTAAGTGACTTATTTTGAACTGTTTATTTATCTAGCACCAGCCGAACACACTCTTCTTGAAGAGACGTGTTGGACCGAGTCCTTCTCCTGAACTGAAAAAGAGATACTCAGCCCGTGGGCGATATTACTCTCTCCCAGTTGACCTGAAGACCCAACTGGCTATGGATCACTTGAAGGGTAGGACTTGTACTGATACTTTGTACCTTCGAACGCAAGAACACAGAATGGTCTGTGGAGTGGAAGGATAGAGATCTGAAGTACTGTCCTTCAAGTCGAACACTGCAGGCCAACCTTGGGGACAGAGCATTTGAAAATGCATCTCTGTGTTAGTAATTGAATATAGGCTTTCGAAAAAGGGCCTGTTTCAATTGACACAGGTTAAAGATGGCCGTAACCCACCACATATCGGGTACAATGAAGTGCGGGTTTATAGAAACTGGTCTTCCAACATGGCATCATGACTTTTGCGTAAACATACACGCCAATTTCAAGTCAAGTGGCGTGTTATCTATACGCATTTTGAGCTATCCGCGTGTATGCGTGTATGTCTACGCCGTTAAATGTCTGAGTGATTCCGCGTGTATGTACACTAGGGCTGCACGATGTATCATTTTAACATCGATATCGCGATGTGCGCATCCACGATAGTCACATCGCAGATATGTACGATGTCAAGTATGGATCGTAGTTGATGGTGATTCATGATCAGTAGGCAACGTGCCAGCAGCTCTCCGGCCCGTAACGCTTGTGATTCGTGGATTAATTGCAAAGTTCAACCATCATAGTGTGAGAGTTTATCAATTTGCAAGTCCTGTCAGTTTAAACATAAAGCGCAAGAAGACTGGAACTTGCGCGCTGTTTTCTGTCAGCCTCTAAAGCGTATTTTTGTCCCGCCAAAGTTTGACCGGTGACTGATGTAAAGACTGACTGCTGCGCTTGTTTAACTGAGAGAGCGAGCAGAGAGAGTGAAAGCCCCGGTCGCGCGCGCGCACTCTCACCGTCTTCAAACTGTCTTTCTCGCTCTCCCTCCCTCGCGCATATTAATGAATTGAGTTGAGTTGACTCAGTGATGGATTTCATCCAGTGATGAAATGTTTTCTGTGTTGACAAATCTTGTGCGATGTGGTCCGTTAATGACACGTCCGATTCGCGAACTAATGACTCATTTGAACCGATTCACTTTAATGAATGGTTAAAACAACTGATCTGTCCAACACTGAACTCAAGAGACATAAATCAGAAACACTTTACAATAAGGTTCCATTTATTAAAGTCTAGTTAACTACATTAGTTAACATACTATTAATATTAGTTTCTATGCAGATTTACTCCATGACAAAACCACCCAAGTCATTCTAGAATTATTCATTCTTTCCAAATAGAGCTATTTAACCCATAAGAACCCGGACCAATTTCCCCTTATAGGAAAATTATGGGGCATATAAAACAGACTAATTGGACCACTTAAAACATGTTTCTGCCGTTGTTTTTTAAAAACAACCACTCCTTGTCAAAGATCTGTAATGTGACATATATGTCACATTGGGCGTTTATGGTGCATTTTTAATGTGACATATATGTCACATTGGGCTTTTATGATGCATTTGGAAAAAAAATAATTTGGTCAGTTTTCTTGCTAAATAACATTTTTTTTCTGTTTATTTTCTTTTCCAAAACATTTTCTAAATTATTACTTTTCTGTGAAGATAAATAAAAAAAAAATTTTTTCAGAAGTAATAGTTTTTGCATTTTATTTGCTTTGCCACATATTTCAAAACCACACAACTGTGACCATTACATTTTACAACAACTGTTTTGTAACTTCAAAAGTTAACCTTCTCAGTTATACGGTTTAATCATAAATACATTTTTAGATTATTTTTTCACAACTCGAAAATGTGCAAAATGAATAAAAATAAATAACTACCTCACACCGGAGGTCAACATGTTGAACATGCATGTAGTGCAATAACATTGCAAAATTCTACCTTTTCAGGTATACGGTTTAACCAGAAATACATTTTTTGATTATTTTTTCACAACGCGAAAATGTGCAAACTGAATAACAATAAATATGGTGTTTTGTACCATATGTTGCATAGCTGTTTTAGTTACAGGTATGCAACATATTTTCAAAATACATTTCATAAAAGGGTAAACCCTAAACCAACTTTCTTTAGTTAATGATCTGTAAGACTGGGGCTTTATTATTGCTGTTCATTGATTCAAGTCATTTTTTAGACATTTGGGTATAAAGTGTTTTAATTCTACAATATATGGTGTAAAAACATCTGAGTGCTGTCCTCTTCAGGTTGAACGGTGGCTACTGCAGTTGAATTTTCAATTTGTGGTGCCCTGTGAGGTAAGCAGGCACCAGCTAACCACACCCATGCCTACAGAGAGATGCGTCTCAGGTGCACACCCCTCCGTCCGCTGGGCTCTGCCCACTTTTACAGCATTTTTCAAATATTGCCAGTGGGTGGAGTCAGGCTCTGATCAGGGGCTTAGTTACCCTTTAACAATGTTATTAATTTGACATTTTTTTGTTTAAAATATGCTTTGAATTGAGCAGCAGAATATATATAATACTAAAATAATTGAATCAGCTAAATTATTTGAGCAGTTCATTAGCATTTTTCTTAATGTGACACATACGTCACATCAAAATTCCACCTACTGTTTTACTGTTAAAAGCCCGATGTGACACATATGTCACAACAACATTTGCAAAACTTGTTTTATATCAATTTGTACAAGAAACGTTTTAAAATCAAGTCAAGTGTAATCTAGGATATGTTATTAAAACATTAGAATTGTTGCATGGGTTGAAACATACCTTTAGTAACAAAAATAAGCATCTTTAAAAAGTGCTGACACTGCAACATGTGCACACAAGACAGACCACCATTTTGGAAATGTTACCATGGCAACAAAAATGCGCACATTGTCACATGACTGAACCTGGATGTTCCTTATATGTCCCTTAGGGACTTCCTGGGTTGAAAGTGAGGTATAATCGTTTAAAAAAACCTTTTCCAATGATCATTAGTGTTTGTGACACCCACGTCACATCGGGTTCTTAAGGGTTAAGTAATCTGGTGAAATTGTTTTTATATCGCAATATATATCGCAGAAAAATAAAATATCGCAATGTGATTTTTTACCAATATCGTGCAGCCCTAATGTACACGCCGTTAAATGTCCGAGCGAAACGAAGCAAAATGTAGATCTACATCTGGGGAGCGATATTTTTTTCCCTAGGATGGTAAGGGAAGACTCATAAATGGTATTAACCCAGTGACGGGTAGGTTTAGGGACGGGGTTGGGGTAGGTCATTTATTTATAAATACAGTAATGTAACGTTAAGTCAACTGTGTTCATAAACACGCTGAAAAGCGATTATGCGTGTTGATAGCACGCCAAAAATGGAAATGTGAATTGGCGTGTCATACATACGCCATTTCATGAGATCAGTCTGGGTGGTCTTCATATCTGCTGGAGGAAGAGGCTACATCGCGTCCTTCGCCAGTAGGACTACGACGTGCGCACACAGGACAGGAGCAGCGCTCAACACGTAGGTGTGATAAATATCACTAATTTTAGGAGCATCTCAGCTCAACACCTAGGTATGATGAATATCACTGAGCCAGGGCGAAAGCCAAGCGAAATGAATCACAAGCCGAGTCAGCTGGTAGTTTCTGGGCCAGGTGGAGCGGTAGGAAGCATCTTTAGGCTTACGCATACCATGCCAGGGGCCAGGGAACCACAGACGTACCCGAGGTGGGGCAACGAGGTGGAGAACAGGGACCCGGCTCGGAAGGCCCGGAGGTGCACAACACTAACCTGTCTCCATGAGACGGCCAGGGATGCATGAGAAGGCGTATGACCGGGTCTTTGAACCCCACCCAGCTGCCGTGCTGGCGAACAAGAGGGGGCTGAGGGGTGCAAGGCTTTACAGGGTCGCACACCGCCAGACTTGCCCTCTTGGGACCCAGGAATTTGCTCTTTCTTTGAAGTGTGGGTACCGCCTGCTCCGCTTCTTTTGGGAGCCAGCGGTGGAACAGACACACACACAAACAAAAACTCCACCCGCCCCTCACCCGGCGGGAGGGAGTGGATCGGTGACCAACTCCAAGAGCATCCTTCTCCATCCCTGAGCGGCCGCTCCGGAATGCTTTCGCTGTCGCTTGCCACCTGGCTTTGCAGAGCCTGGAGCGGGCTGGGCGTCCCTACTGCGGCCGGCTCCATGCTGAGGCCTGGCTGGAGGCTGCTGCGGAGGCCCAACAGGAGCGGCGGCAGGGGAACGCCCTCGGCAACGAGCAGGCGGAGGAACTGCCACCGGCGGCGGGGTGGAGGCAGCAGCCAGCCGCCGGGGCAGGATGTGCCGGATGGCCTCCGTCTGCGCTGGGCGGCAGAGAACTGTTGGACGCAGTTCTTTTGGACGCCGCGAGCTCGTAAGCAGTGTGGTGCTCAACTATGAGTGCACGGTCTGGGCTACCCTTGTGCATGTCCAAGGGTGCTCTGGCCTGACAGACCCGTAGCAGTGCCATGGCACGGCGCTTTGTAAGCTCTGCCTGTCGGAATGGACAAGACCTCACAGGCTTAGGGGGGAGATGAGGATCCCCCCCAAAAGGCAGCGACCGCCGGACACAGACTGCTCCACTGGAGGGATAGCCTCGCAACCCTTCACCGCTCCTCCAACAAGGCTAGTGAGGGGGGAAAGCTATTCAGGCAGTTTCTGGCAGAGAAAGGTGCCGTCCACAACCTGGTAAGCTCTCCATGTACTTCGGGAAAGAAAGGCACTGAGGCGGCGAGCTGAGAACCAGCGCGGCCCGCCCCGATATACCAATCCTCCATCCGAGACTGAACGGGACACGGTGGAGGGTTCCACTCGAGCCCGGGAGCCTGGGTGGCCCGTTTCAGCATTGCTTACATTTCTGGATCTGGCTCGGGCAACGTTACTCTCCCAGAGGGAGATAACACAGCCGAGTCGTCATCTCCAGAGGCCAGCTCACCCTCCGATGCTGCTATCGACATCTTATCCTCTGGGGGAACTCCAATTGAAACGGCTGATCGGTCCATTACAGATGGACCAGCACGTTTAACAGGAATTCCATTGGCTGCGGTGTGATGGAGAAGTGAGGAGCCCACAGGGAATGGTTACCGGGTGAGACATCCATCACTATCCTCCGATCACCCATCCCACACGGCACCCGGGGGCGGGGCATGGTAATGGAGACTCGCGCTTTGCGGACGAAGGCGAGTCTCGATCTCAACACCGCGACAGTCATTTTCCTGCAATGGGAACATGAACCGTCCACAAAAGCCCAAACACGTGATGCAACAATTGTGACCGTCAGAGAGGAAAGGGGAACGACCGCATCCAGAAACACAGGTGGAATGACATCTTGAAAAAGACGCAAACTCACCCGTATTGGTCTTTCATGAAATAGGACCCATCACCAGTGCTGGAGCACACAGGGGAATGACCGCGTCAACACTGAACAGTGAACTGAAACAGTGAAGCACTAACTTTTCCGCCCTCTAACCAGCCGTCAACACACACAAACATTAAGGAAATTTGTTGCTGATAAAACAGCAGTTGAGAGCTCAAAGCTCGCGATCACCGCTGCACTCACGATGTAGAAACCACCAGCACTGGGAGAGTCTTCCAGAAGAACACCGACACACTCGCTCGTTGTAAACAACGGCACTCTTCAGAGACATCAAACGATTGGCTCTGAGGCGAAAAGCAACTAGTGCGTGCATCCACTTCCGTATTTATACCCGCGCCACGGGGGCGGAGTGTGTGATGTCATCACGCACGCCAATTTCATTGGCTCGTTCAATAGTACTCGAAGACGATTGGCTCCCTAGCATGATCCCCATTCAGTCGACGACGACTACATCTGACGTTCTCGACTGAAAGGGAACCGCGTATGCTAAATGAGGCAAGGGTGTCGAGTTACATTAAAGATATTTTAAGCCATGAAGAATTGTTTTTCAAGGAATAAAACGAATTAAATGATTGACGACAGGAGAACTTTAACATAACTGTACTGTTTGAAACACTAACCACATACCTTAATGAGCTCAGCCTCTTCCACACAGCTCTCATGGGCTTTCTTAAAGTCAGCGAGGGTCACCTCAAGTCTGCCCATTTTTTCTTTTACTTGCTCCTGGAATCACAAGATAAACTCTTAATAACAAGCTTGAAGAAACCAAACACTCACTCACCAAACTTCTCCTACCTTTAAATTCCCAGCAGCCTCTTTGACAGGAGAACACTTGTGATTTTCATGCTTCTTTGAAGTGTAACACACCACACAGATGGGCTTCTTGTCATCAAAGCAGAAGAGTTTGAGTGTCTCTTGATGCAGCGGACAAACGTCTCCTGAAACAGCTGTGGGTTTTCTCGTCTTGAAGGTTTCACAGAGCGCTCTGAATGCCAGGCTCTTGGTGGGTTCGTCGCTTGAGCATTTCTTACGGCAGACCGGACACTGCGGCTCTTCTTGAGTCGTCCAGAAACGCTGGAGGCATTCAGAGCACAAACTGTGGCTACATTTCAGAGTTACCGGATCAGTGAAGACATCACAACAGATGATGCATGTCAAGTCCTCCTCCATGAAGGACAAAGCGTCTGACATGACTGTGAACAATCCTCAATAGAGACACCCGACCAATACCCGATAGATTTACTTTTTTCTCCTGTTGGAAATATATTAAACCTGCTTTACTTCTCCACACTAGACCCAACCCTTTCCTTCTATTCACTTTCATTTCAGTAGAAACCTTAGCAAACAACTCCACCCTCCAAAATAGCAACCAGGAAATGATTACATGGGATGTGGCACCTGCTCAAAGTCTACTAAAATTAAATCATACGGTTTTACATTAGTGAATTAGTAACTGCTACTTAGTTTGGAACTAACTTGTTTACTTAATTTAGTTGACTATATTCTCCTAAGGCAAGATTTATATAATGTATATAGTCTCATATAATCACCTCTGGCTTTTATCCAATAAACAGCAGTTTAATTTGTAAATACAGTAGAAGTAGGGTTGATTGCCTTGCTGTCAACAATGAACATTTAATTTCAATTGATAGTTGGTTTAAATTGTACTTTTTCCACAATATTAAAATTTTTACTGTATTTTTTTATCAAAAATAAATGCAGCCTGAGATTTTTGACAGGTAGTGTATAAACAAACAAATGTTAAATTACTACTCTGAAATATAGAAAATAGTTCATTCTATATATGGAAAATATAAAAATTCAGGAACATTATTTCAGTTCAACCTGGAGCAATAATTAAGTACTAATACAAAATTCTGAAAATATCACCTTTTGGTAGAAACCTGGCATGACTATTGACGCTTTTCACATTGAGTTAGTTTGAACTAAGTTTAATAGTACAGTGCACCAATATTTACTAATTCATTAGTGTCCATGTCCATGTGATACATAGGTAAACATCCTTCCTGAGGGTGAGTAAATGATGGCATATTCTGAGCTGTGTCAGCAGAGGACGCAAAAGATCTGAGTTTTATAAAATCGTCTCCTAGATGGCAGTATCCATCCATGTATCTTGACTTTAGGACATAACTGGGCATTTCACATTTGGGCCATGTCCACACCAATAATAATATATATTATAATAATAATTTTAGTTTGAAAACGTATATTTTTCTCTCCGATTTGACTGAGACGGCGTTTTAAGTCAATGAAAACGTAGCTTTTGGAATACGCTCTCCAAAGCGGATAACTTTGAAAACGCCGTTTTCGCGTTGTAGTGTGAAGCCGGAGGTATTTGAAATCGATGGCGTAAGTTAGTCATGTGATCCATGTTGTACCAATAGATATTCATGTTTACCGGTATTGTGCCTGTTATGTGCTCTTCACTTTTACACTGTTGCTAAAATATGTTACTTTGCACACTCTTCATATCACAGTACTGCAAAGATGACAGAAAATGTACTCACATTTGCTGTCCCGCGGTAATACAGGAGCGCAGTTGCGTTTTAGACCAAACATATGGTGACTGAGTGCGACTTGGACGCATAGTGATGGTGAGATATTTTGCTAAATAAAATTATCCTGTTAGAAGAATTGCGTGATAACTTTATTTATTTTTCCATCTATATCATCTCAGTGAGCTTTTGTGAGGATTCACACATGCGCAGTAAGGTGAATTTAGAAGTTTCTCATCCACACTGAAACGTCGGAAAACGCCTTAAAACGCTAGTGTGGACGGAGAGCATTTTTAAACGAAAACGCAGTTTTCGAATGTATCCGGATTAATGTGGATAAACCTTAAAAGAAAATCAAAATCTCGCAAGTGTTTCCCAAACAACTGCACACTTTCTTGCTGGTGTGCAAAAAAAAAAAGAAGAAGTTTGCATTGATTCAGGAATTGTCCTTAGCTTAGCATAGTTAGACACACTTAACATTAGTTCCCTTTCGAGAGGTTCCTCCTATTGCGTAATAGCTTTACGGTATGGGAAAACTCCTTTTCTCGAGAAATATTGAAGTCTTTATGTAAAACACATTGCAGCTGCACAGCATACAGCAATGAGCGAGGCAGCTCGGTCATTGGCTGTGCTGCGGCAACTTGCACGAACCAATGACGGGGCGACTCTGAACCCGCTTCCAATGAGCGTGCTTCGCGCCCACGCGCGTCAGAGCCCACCAAGATGGGCATGGCCAAGGGCTATATATTGGGCGCCCCGTCGTCTGAGTTCTTTAGATTTAATCTCCTTCAGCAAAGAACCTTCTCTTCGCTGGATCCTCCGGATTTGTTGGAGTCTTTTCGCCGCCGCCGTCAACAAGCCTACAGCAGGACTGCTTCGAGGACGCCGGCGCCTTCAGCCGCCTTCGATCGCCCTTCTGCTAAGCCATCCGGCGCGCACCATCTATATCCTTTTTCAAAGCTTCAGTGTTCGCCCCCGCGACACTTTTCTAAAAGAGCAAATTTCACAAGGCGTTGTGTCAAATGCCTTCCTGCGCCTCGTGTCGAGGCCCTCTTCAGGACGGGGATCGTCACATCATCTGCGCCCGCTGCTTGGGACCGGACCACGCAGAGGCTGCCCTTACTCGAGGCGGATGTCCCGAGTGTGACGCCCTGGGCCTCACCGAGCCCCGCACTCCGCTCGCCTGAAGCCTTCCTTTTCTTTGTCGCTCTCCTCTGTGGACGGCGCGAAAGAAAGAGGCTATGAGGGGACTCCGCCCCTCGAGGAGGCTGTGGCCAATCATCTGTGTCCACCCTCCAACGCTGGATGGAAAGCTAAAGCTTCTCATCCCTCGAAGCCTTGCCGATCTACTTCAGCTCTCGCCGGTCGCGCATACGCCGCCGCCGGCCAAGCTGCATCAGCGCTTCACTCTATGGCTGTCCTCCAGGTATTTCAAGCCAAACTTCTCCGCAGTATGGACGAGTCTGGACCCGATCCTGAGGCATTTAAGGACCTACGCAGCGCCACTGACATAGCGCTGCGAGCTACAAAAGCCACCGCCCAATCCATCGGCCGTGCTATGGCTAACCTGACTGTCCTTGAGCGCCATCTGTGGCTGACGCTAACAGAGATGAAGGATGCAGATAAGGCGTCATTTCTCGACGCGCCTATCTCCCAAAGCGGCCTGTTTGGACCAGCGGTGAAGGAGTTCGCCGAGCGCTTCACCGAAGCCCGTAAGGACTCACAGGCTATGCGTCACTTCCTGCCCAAGCGATCTAGCTCATCGCAGAGCCGCCAACGGCCGCCTCAGCAGCAGCGAGCTAAGACGGCGCCCCCCGTTTCTCAGCCCAAACCTGAAACGGATTTTCGACGCCGCTCGCGCTCCGCCAACAGGAAACAACCGCCCGAGCGACGGGGACCTCGGCCCAGGATTGTGCTGAACCCAGAGCCTCGTAAGTCCTCCTAGCTACAGGGAGGAAAAGGGAGAGCGCGTGTCTCGCAAGAGCCGGACCGTTCTCTCCAAAACGTTTAAAGCATTACCCAGTCCCCTCACAGGCGGCTGGAAATGTCTATACAGCAGCCAATGTGCCAGCCACACAGCTCGCCCACCTGCAAACAAACGCCGTTTTTACGGCGACACACAGAAATCACATAAAGAGCTATTTTCTGCCTGTGTCATTAAAGGGTCACGTGTCCACACCAAAGTGCGCATTCCCACATATCAAAACTGTAAACTCAGTGCCAAATGTTTTCCCAGCTCAGGCTGGACGCCCCATAAATGTAGATTGTGTGCCAACTGTCACGTATACACCACTACACACAAGCACTGTTCCCACAGTTATAAACACTTCCCCAGTAAAAGCGGGAAGTTGTATAAGAGTAGCGCGTGTGCCCGCTGTTATGCACGCACCCCATCTCACAAACACTGTTTATATGGCCAAAAACCTCCCGCCACGAGCGGGAAGTTTTATGAAAGTGGCGCGCGTGCCTACCACAGTCTATGCACCCCCACCCATAAGCACTATACACACAGTGTTAAACATTTCCCCATCTCACTCTGTGAGCATTACAGCGAGCGTGCCTGTAATCTCACACGCACCCCTGCACCCGGCATTCAACAGAGCTGCTCAACGCGCGCCCGCGCCGCTGACAGCTGTGAGCTCGGTATTAACACAGAACGATTCGCTGGCGGGAGCCATACGTCACTGCGACACGCCCCCGGCCAGCATTCAGCCCATATCTGTGCGAGCGAAAGCTTGGGAAAATATCCCCGACATGCCGAAATGGGTTTTGAACATAATAAAACACGGTTACTCGCTCCAATTCGCTCGCAGACCGCCCAGCAGTGGTAGAGACGAAAGTGAGAAAAGATGTTTCACATGTTCTACGCACCGAGATGCTCAAACTGATAGAGAAAGGCGCTATAGAAACAGTGCCCCCCTCTATGAGCGAGGCAGGTTTTTACAGCCGCTATTTTCTCGTCCCGAAAAAGGATGGCGGTCTCCGCCCCATTCTAGATCTCAGACATCTGAACAAAGCTTTAATGATTCGCTCGTTCAGAATGTTAACAACCAAGCATATCCTCGCGCAAGTTCGCCCGGGGGATTAGTTTCTGTCAGTGGATCTGAAAGACGCTTACTTTCACATTTCAATAGCGCCTCATCACAGGCCATTTCTGAGATTCGCTTTCGAGGGACAGTCATACTAGGAAAACAGTACTACCATTCGGCCTGTCACTGGCACCCCGTACATTTACGAAATGTATGGATGCAGCACTTTCCCCCCAGAGACAGCGGGGAGTGCGAATACTAAATTATCTCGACGATTGGCTAATACTAGCACAATCAGAGAGCCAGTTAATGACACACAGGTCTTGGATTATCAGTCATCTAGAGTGCCTAGGACTAAAAATCAATTTTGCAAAGAGCATGCTATCCCCCAGCCAGAATATTTCTTTTCTGGGAATAGTGCTAGATTTTTCGGCGCCTTGCAACATCGTTCAGAGCGGGTGCGCGCGCCCCCGTCAAGCGATTTCAGAGGATGCTCGGTCTCATGGCCTCAGCATCAGCTGTACTCCAGCTAGGATTGTTGCACATGCGTCCTCTCCAACGCTGGCTCAAAAGCCGTGTCCCCACTCACGCGTGGCGCTCGGGCCACTTTTTAACCAGAGCAAATCACGGCTGCATAAAAGCCCTGACGCCCTGGAAAGCTGTAGACT